TGGGGCGGGTTGTGCACGCATAGGGTACGACTTAGAATTGAATTAGAGCACATTTAGGTAAACAACGTTAACAGAGTAATCGAGTAGCAGGAGATGATAGTCTATGCCCACTGAATAATATGAGTAACTCCCTACCTCAAGGAAGTTGTGAAGTATTATTTATGTTGCACGGGGTGATCCTTTCGGCTAAAAAACTTAGGACCCCCACCCCTTTTCTTTTTTATACATTTAGTCACCCAATACAGACCGTTATAGTTATATCCTTGTAATCCTTATTTCTCATTGTGTTATAATAGAATTCTTTGACCCTTATTCTCTTGTTTATCTTGCCTAATTATAATCCACATAGTCTTATGTTCGGCCGGGACCCAAAGTTGTGGACCTTGAAGAGTGCCTAACACCTTCTCTTTGAAGTAATTTGAGCCCTTACCCGATCTTTGATGGCACTGACTAGTCAAACAGAGTTATATGCATAATACATGCCCTAACACACCTTAAAAACCATTAGGTGGAGGCTCTTCTTCTTTTAACACTCTATCTCCCATCCAAAAGAGTTGTCACGATGTCGAAATCCGTTTTCGCGAGAAAACGGGGCGCGACAGCATGGCGACTCTATTGGGGATATACTTAGGCTCTTACCATAATGAACTTGGCTTATGTGGATTATTTTCTTTGTTATAACATGCACATCCTTTCCTTCTCCATCTTTATTTGTTTAAATTTTTTTTAACATGCACATCGTTTTCCCGTTCACCTTTATTTGTTTAAATCCGTCATGACATGCACATCCCTTCCCTTCTCCACTTTTATTTGTTTAAATTTGTTTTAACATGCACATCCCTTTCCCATTTACCATTATTTGCTATGACTACTCTTCATTTTGTTTAAAGACTGCTATATCATGCATCTCCCATCCCTACTCCCTTACTTGATTTATTACATTCTTGCATATAGTTTACGATCTAACTTCTTCCTTTGTCTTTCTTTTTTCATGTTTTACCTTATTACTGTATTTACTGCTTTTACATATTTATCATGTAAATACTTTGCAACGTGTTATTATCTCTGCATAAAGCATGCTCCACATCATACCCCACTCGTGCCAATTATAAACATATCGGTGCTTGATGAGTGTAGCGCTCTTCCAAAATTACCCTTTTTAATCGAAAAGGCTTATTTGCGGTAGACTAGTCGATCAGTGGTGCAGTCGACGGTCCCGTATCTTTCCCTTTCAAATTGTCCACTTGAGAGTACCAGCTTAGACCATTCTAGAAACCTTACGCCAACATCAAATGTACATGCATCATGTTAAACCTATGACTTGTGACATTGTTAACGTAATAGCCGGCTAAGATATGCCTTATCCAATGTCCGACGGGATTTCCACAATCCCAAGGGACACTACCATGTTATATGCATTACTTGGAGAAAATATGCCAATATGTTGATCATTATTGTGTAAGTGGTCGAATCTGGAGGGGGAAAGGGCTAACTCTATTTGTTTTACAGAAAATGAAGCACGAAGTCCCCATGTACGGCATGGTCCAAAACATTCCACCTATGCTACTTGATTGGTGGAAAACCCTCGCGCCTTGCAACAAGAATCATGTGAGAAGGGTCCTTGGTAATTTGCCATCTTTGCTAGACATCCGACCTAATAGGGCATTGATCGAGGCCGCTACCATGTTTTGGGATGAGAGAAGGGCCGTCTTCTGCTTTGGTGACATAAAAATGACTCCTCTCCTAGAAGAAATAGGAGGCTTCACTAAGTTGCCGTGGGATAGTCCAGGATTATTAGTGCCATAGGATCGCACCCCTCACGGTTTTCTAAAAATTCTAGGTTTCAAGAAAAATAATGAGTTGCTTTGTTTGAGGAAGTCATACATCCCATTTGAATTTCTTTATGAGCGTTACGGGTGCAGTAAGTCATATCATGTTCATCATGAAGAAATCGCCATTACTTCTTTGGGTTGGACGCACCGTCGAGTTTATGTGTTTATCGTCTACTTCTTGGGGCTGTTGATATTTCCAATAAAAGGAAGGATTCATACTCGCCTAGCCATGGTCGCCAGAACATTGATGGAAGGCATCGAGGGAAAGACTTATACCATCATCCCCATGATCTTAGCTGAAATGTACCGCACTCTCGTTCGGTGAAAGCAGGGATTTGGACACTTCGAAGGTTGTAATCTGTTACTACAAGTCTGGTTATTGGAACACTTTAAGAGAGGAGAATATCGCCAAGAGCTTCTGCGACGACCGGTGAATGACTACATAGCTTACCATCACCCAATGAAAATGACATTCATTCCAGACAGGTTTGCACAACCTGGAAATGCTGTAAGTTGGGTGCGTTTCTTCAGCAATCTGACAGACGAGCAGGTACATTGGATGTTTGAATGGTTTCCTAGCAGTGAGTTCATTAGTAGGTCAAGAGAGTCTACTCATCTAGTACTGATCGGGTTTAGGGGTATCTATATTTATGCTCCTATAAGGGTAATGAGACAAGCGAGAAGAAAACTGGTTATACCTGGGTTTCCAACATGGTCCAGTACAAAGCAAATTTTAACAGGGATGCCATTCCATTCAAGTTCCAGGCACATCATATGTGGAACCAGAAAGTGATTGTGGGAAAAGAAACTATTGAGCCAGACAGAATATCATGCCGGTGATGTGTACTTCTACCTATCATGGCTGGTGGAAGATACAATAGGAGACGTCAAGCCATGATTTAATCTAAAAAATAGGATCATAGATGATGATGCTGAAGCGTAGTCAAGTATAGGAGGTTACGCAAAAGGGTCTTTGAGTCTGAATCTAGGCATCTGGAACAACAAAAAGTGGATATGAAGCAATCAACGAATGGAGGGAAATTGCCACTAAGTCGACAGAGAGATTGGAATATTTGAAACAAGGGTTGATGGAGCTTGAGGGGAAGATGAGAAAGAGGCTTTCAAATTGTCAAAACACGGATGGTAGTGAAGGAGGGCATCTAGTAAAGGCTTACCTAATGTTGGATATGCGCGACCTGGGGAACCCGATTGATGGAGTCAAGAGAGCCAAGCACAGGGAAGGTCCTTCTGGGACCGAGTAGATTAACAAATGATGTTCTTTACTGCTTTCTAGCTTAGTTTTAGATTTCGATTGTAATAAGGCTAAATGACATTAGTAACTTTATCATTATTGTCGATTTAGGAAGGGTTTAACCCATTTTCCCATTGATGAAATGACCCAAATATTGGCATCAATTTTATCCAAGTCTATGTGTCGCTTAGGCCTACCTCGGGCACAATGAGGTCACCCAAATTAGGACGCGAATTTATTACATGATTTTGCAAAACATGTTTAATATAGCAAGGATTCTTTCAATATCCCTTAGTGACTTGGTTACCTTTAGCTTTTTCTTTCTTTTAATTATTCCCATTCCCCAAGGTTGGTTCATGCATTCTGGCATCGTCAGCATATCACACTAGATCCAGAGGTCCTCCACCTCCTCCTCAACCATGTGATCCTAAAGTCAGAAGCAAAGAGAAAGGAAAAATGGATGATTTGAGCGGTATTAGAAAAGATAACGCTACTATGACAGAAAACGTTGAAACTTCAGATGGTCGAAGTACTCCGGCACAGAACGAATTGGTCTTAGCCTGGAATAGAAAATCCTGGAGCTACAAGGAGAACTTGAGCATGTAAGGAACTTGGCAAACCTTTCTCTCACCCTAAACGTCCCTGATATTAACCAACAAAATCGAATTACCCAAACCCAGTACCACCCCAAAACACACAGAACAAAAATCCACCGCCAAATCCTCCTACACCACATCAATACCCCACGCCTCTCCATAACCATAACCCTCCACCGGTATCTACTCCTCAACAACACCATCATCATCTAACTCAATACCCACAAGCCACCACTTATCACACTCCCCATAATGCACCACAACCTACTCCTGATCCCCAAAACTCAACCAATGACCACCCTTACGCCTAGATTCCCGAAGTTCATCTAAGCAATCCGATATAAGCAGAAACTTTACCCCACACCCCACAACAAACCCTATATATATCGGAATCAACCGAGAAATACCTGCTCATCAAGAACATGGCGGAAGAACTCAAGAAGCTCACTGGCAGAGTTCAGAGTGTCGAAGGTAGTATGGGCATTGAAGGATTGAACTATGAGGACTTGTGCATTCAACCAGATATGGAACTGCCGGAGGGTTACAAACCTCCCATGTTCGAAATATTCGATGGAATTGGTGACCCGAAGGTACATTTAAGGACATATTGTGACAAACTTGTAAGAGTGGGAAAAGATGAATGAATCAATATGAAGCTTTTCATGAGAAGCCTCACAGGAGATGCTTTGTCTTGGTACATCAGTCATAACCCGAAGAAGTGGGTTAATTGGGTGAGCATGGCGTCAGATTTCATGGACAGATTCAGGTTCAACACAGAAAACGTACCAGACGTTTTCTACATTTAGAATCTCAAGAAGAAACCAACAGAAACTTTCCGTGAGTATGCTACTCGGTGGAGATCTGAAGCTGCGAAAGTAAGGCCAGCACTTGAAGAAGAACAAATGAATAAGTTCTTCGATAGAGCCCAAGACCCGCAGTACTAAGAAAGGCTGATGGTTATTGAAAACCATAAATTCTCTGACATTATCAAGTTGGGAAAAAGAATAGAAGAAAGGATTAAGAGTGGAATGGTGACAAATTTTGAAGCACTACAGTCCATGAATAAAGCCTTGCAATCAGGAGGTATCTCAAAGAAGAAAGAGGTAGGTCCTGTGATGGTAGCCCAAGGTCCAAAGTCTCCTCTCACATACCAAAACACCTCCACCCACATACCAGCCTTCACCCGCGAGATACCAACAACCTGCTACCACCTACTACGCCTATAACACTCAACCCGCATATTATAACTCACCACCACTCGCCCGCGAAAATTACCAAAAACCAAGACCAAGCTTCGACCGTAGACCACCCAGATAATACATGCCAATTACTGAACCCATAGACCAACTGTATGAAAGACTGAAGGCTGCTGGTTATGTCACTCCCATTCCCGCCGTTGCTATGGAAAACTATTCTCAATGGATTAACCCAAACAAGACATGTTCCTATCACTCAGGCATGAAGCGCCATACCATTGATGAGTGCCGCACGCTGAAGAACAAGATTCAGACATTTATCGACACTAAAGTCATACAGGCAAAGAAAGCTACACCAAATGTTCGTAACAATCCTCTCCTGGATCACAGAGGTGAGGGAGTAAATGTGATAGAGGCTGACGAGGAATGGGACCCGAAGGGGTCAATTGGACTCATTCGGGAGGGGGATAATCCTAGAACATCTCTAGTCACCCTCACACTCGTTATGGTACAAATCCAAGCACCGCTTGAAGTTGAGGTAACCGCACCAGCACCGTTTGAAGTGAAGGTAGCCACACCCTTCACTGTAATGGTAGCTCTCACGCCATCTTACAAGTCTGATGCTATACCATGGGATTATGTTGCGAAAGCAAGGAGCAAAGGAAAAGCAAAAATGGAGGAAACAGATGTGACACAAGGCATGACTAGAACTAGAAGAATTTATACACCTGAGCATTTGGGAGGAACAAGCAAGGAAGCTGCATCTAATCTGCCTGTTGTTGAGACAGGCCCTGATGACCTTTGGAGAAAAGTACAAGCGAGAGAATACTCTGTGGCTGACCATTTGAACAAAACTCCCGCTCAGATATCTATCTTGTCACTACTACAAAACTTTGAGACACACAGGAATACCTTGATAAAAGTGCTGAGTGAAGCTTATGTACCCACCAACATCACTAGTGGGGAGATGGCCAACATGGTCGGACATGTACTGGAAAGTCACAAAATTACCTTTCATGAAGACGAGTTGCCACCAGAGGGACTAAGTCACAACAGGGCACTACACATCACAGTGCAATTTGAGGACAAGTTCATAGCCAGGGTCCTGATACATGGGTTCAAGTCTCATATGTGCCCATTAACTACTCTGAAGAGACTAGGTAAAGGCATGTACAAGATACGAGCGAGAAGCATGAATGTGAAGAAGTTTGATGGATCTCAAAGAGCCATCAACAGAGAAATCAACCTCAGCCTACAGATGGGTCCTACCTGGTTTGATGTTGAGTTCCAAGTGCTGGATATATATGCTACCTATAACTTATTGTTGGGGCAGCCCTGGATACATGCCGCTGGGGTAGTGGCTTCGCTTCTACTCTGCATCAAGCTGTGAAATTTGAATGGATCCATCAGGAGGTAATCATCCATGGAGATGGAAGTAATCCCATCTACACCAATCAGACCATTCCAGTCATCGAGAACAGGAAGAAGATGGGCGGAGAAACATACCATCGCATCGAGCGCGTCAACGCAATTGAAAAGGACAAATGGTGGAGCAACAAGATAGAAAGGATACTGGTATGGATAGGGTATGAACCTGGAAAATTTCTCGGCAAAAACCTCTAGGGGATCACCAAACCAGTGCAACCGAAGCATCATGGTACAACTTTCGGGCTTGGGTATGAATATGCATAGCAATAGTACTAGGAATTGTCGCCACCATAGCGTGGTCCTTATTATCCGCTGGAACAACTGGTACCATATTAGCACCAAACATTTCATCAAGCTGACATGAAGTAGGAGTCTGAGGAATATGAAGCCTTAGCTGGCATAAGGAAGCTGTTTCTAGATGACGAAGAAATGGGTTGCAGTGCGATAGTTGAGGAGGACGAGGAGGAAGACCTTACTATTCAGACCGTTGAAAAGGGAGTTGTTCTCAAGAACTGGACTGCTGCACCATCCCGGGCCCGTCGAGTTCCTGGGTAGCTAGGCAATTTGACATCAATGGTTTTAAAAAATAGTTTGAGCATCTAAGACATTTTCAGTATTTTGTTTTGAACGTATTTTGTTTTGAAATAATTGCTCGAGTCATCGAGTTGTACTTGTTGACATTTTCAAGATTTTAATAATGCATTGCTATTTTGCGTATTTATTATTATTCTTTACATTTTATCTTTAAAGCATTATTATTACCTATACTGATGAACCAACGACTGTGACATGTAATGAGACAACGCAATATAAGGATAGTGATTTGGAGGATGATATAATACCTGAGGAGATCGTCAGAGAAGTGGAGAACTTTGAAAACAATCCTAAGTCAAATTTGGACGAAACTGAGACAGTCAATTTCGGGGATTCTGAAACGATCAAGGAAACACGCGTAAGCATTCACCTGTCATCGTCAGAGAAGGAAGAGTATGTCAGATTCCTAAAAAGAGTATGAAGATATCTTTGCATGGTCATACGGCGATATGACTGGTTTGAGCACATCCATAGTGGCTCACAATCTACCTACCAATCCCATGTGTCCACCGGTAAAGCAAAAGCTCAGAAAATTCAAGCTGGATATGAGTTTGAAGATAAAAGACGAGGCCACCAAGAAAATCAAATGCGGGGTTTTTAGGGTGGTTGCCGACTTGGTTGGCCAACATCGTGCCGCTTCTAAAGAAAGATAGAAAAGTTAGAGTATGTGTTGATTACTGAGATTTAAACAGGGCGACTCCCAAAGATGATTTCCCTTTGCCCAATATACACATACTGATCGACAACTGTGCCAAACATGAACTCCAGTCCTTTGTGGATAGGTTCGCAGGGTATCATCAGATCTGGATGGATGAGGAGGATGCCGAAAAGATAGCCTTTATAACAACATGGGGAATGTACTGCTATGAAATAATGCCGTTTGGTTTGAAGAATGCTGGAACCACCTACACGAGAGCCATGACAACCATTTTCCACGACATGATACATAAGGAAATAGAGGTGTATGCAGATGACATCATCATCAAATCCAAAAGAAGCACAGATCACATAGCAGACTTGAGGAAATTATTTGATCGGCTACGAAGGTACAATCTGAAATTGAATCCTGCAAAGTGCGCCTTCGGAGTCCCTACTGGAAAATTATTAGGATTCATCGTCAGTAGCCGAGGGATTGAATTAGACCCGTCAAAGGTCAAATCTCCAGGACTTGACACTTTCGAATAACAAGAAAGATGTGATGAGCTTTTTAGGGCGTCTCAACTACATCAGCCGCTTCATAGCACAATCAACCGTGATATGTGAGCCGATATTCAGGATGTTGAAAAAGATGCTGCAGCAGGATGGACTGAAGAATGCCAGAAAGACTTCGACAAAATTAAGGAGTATTTATCTAAACCACATGTTCTAGTCCCACCAGAACCAGGAAGACCTCTGTTGCTTTACTTGCCCGTTTTGGACGGGGCTTTCGGTTGTGTTCTGGGATAATATGATGAGACTGAAAGAAAGGAGCAGGCAATATATTATCTGAGCAAGAAATTCACACCTTACGAAGCCCGACACTCTTTGCTGGAGCGCACCTGCTACGCTTTGACATGGATAGCTCAAAAGTTGGGGCATTATTTCTGTGCATACACCACATATCTCATATCAAGGATGGACCCGCTGAAATACATCTTCCAGAAACCCATGCCTACGGGTAAGTTAGCAAAGTGGCAGATATTGCTGAGTGAGTTCGACATAGTCTATGTAACTCAGAAGGCAGTCAAAGGGCAAGCATTGGCAGATCATCTGGCAGAAAATCCCGTAGAAGAAAAATACGAACCATTGAAAACGTATTTTCTCGATGAGGAGGTATCATGTGTAAGAGAAGATATCACCGAAGCATATGATGGTTAGAGAATGCTCTTCGATGGAGCTGCAAACTTCAAAGGAGTGGGTGTCAGAGCTGTCTTAGTATCAGAAACCGGCCAACACTATCCGGTATCCGCAAAACTCAGATTTCCATGCACCAACAATATGGCAGAATATGAGGCTTGTATCTTGGGGCTCTGGTTGGCCATTGACATGAATGTTCATGAATTGCTGGTGATTGGAGATTCCGACCATTTGGTTCATCATGTTCTAGGAGAGTAGGCTACAAAGAACACTAAAATACTGCCATATTTGCACTGTATGCAAGAGCTGATCAAGAGGTTCACAAAGATAGAGTTCAAACATGTTCCAGGGATTCAGAACGAGTTTGCAGATGCATTGGCCACTTTATCCTCCATGGTACAACACCCCAAAAAGAATTTCATCGATCTTATCCCAATAGGAATTCATAAGCAGCCAGCTTATTGTGCTAATGTTAAAGAAGAAAGTGATCGAAATCCATGGTTCCATGATATCAAGGAATACTTGAAAAAGGGAGAATATCCGGAGTACGCAACTCATACTCAGAAGCGCACAGTATGAAGGTTAGCCAACCATTTCTTTCAAAGCGGAGGAATTCTATATCGAAGGACTCCAGACCTGGGATTATTACGGTGTGTCGACGCCAAGGAAGCATCCAGGTTACTCGAGGAAATACATGCCGGAACCTACGGACCGCACATGAATGGCTTTGTCTTAGAATGGAAAATACTAAGAGCAGGGTATTTCTGGATGACTATGGAAACAGACTGCATCAAGTATGTTCAGAAGTGTCACCAATGCCAGATACATGCTGATATGATACGAGTACCACCCAATGAACTCAATGCAACAAGTGCACCCTGGCCTTTCTCCGCTTGGGGTATGGATGTCATTGGTCTAATCGAACCCGCTACATCAAATGGGCATAGGTTCATTCTGGTGGCCATAGACTATTTCACAAGATGGGTCGAGGCAGCATCATACAAAGCTGTAACTAAGAATGTCGTTGCAGATTTTGTTTGGGATCACATTGTTTGTCGGTTCGGAGTGCCACAGTCAATCATCACCAACAATGCCGCCTATCTCAACAGTGACCTAATGAAAGCCATGTGTGAAACTTTCAAGATCAAGCATAGGATTTCCACAGCATACAAGATGCAAATGAACGGAATTGTAGAAACCGCCAACAAGAACATCAAGAGGATACTAAGGAAAATGGTAGATAATTACAAACAATGGCACGAGAAGCTACCATTCGCTCTGCTCGGGTATCGTACCACGGTTCGCACATCAACTGGGGAAACTCCCTACCTATTGGTTTATGGTACTAAAGCAGTTATTCCTGCCGAAGTGGAGATCCCTTCTTTAAGAATTATGAAAAAAGCTGAGCTCAGCGATGCAGAATGGATGCAGAGCCGGTACGAGCAACTAGTTCTGATTGATGGAAAAATAATGAATGCAGTATGTCTCGGTCAAATCTACCAGAACATAATGGTAAGAGCTTTCAACAAAAAGGTCAGAACAAGTCAATTCACCCCGGGGCAATTGGTGCTAAAGCGGATCTTCCCACATCAGGATGAAGCCAAGGGGAAGTTCTCACCCAACTAGCAAGGTCCCTACATGGTTCATCGAGTACTAACAGGAGGAGCACTTATACTTGCAAAAATGGACGGATAGATTTGGCGAAAACCTATCAACTCAGACTCAGTCAAGAGATACTTGTTTAGGATTGTTTACATTTCTTCACTTGATGTAACTAAACTACGCAAAACCTGATTCCCATTTAAGAGGGGATACGTAGGCAGCCTTGTGGTTTCGGTCACATCTTAATAAAATCTTCATTTTCCCCATGATCGGAAATTGGGGCAAGGTTTGCAAGTTCAGCCAACATTGTTATATGTGGAACAACAAAAAAGTATTGCATTTAAACTGGGGCATATTTTGAGGGGGACCCTCAAAATTCTAAGGCAAGGAGGTTGCAATGTCTCTAAATGTGTCATAGTCACCAGTTCATCTAAATTATTTGATATCACGTACTGCAATACATTTCAAACAACTATATTTTTGCAAATAATTTGTCAAATGCATATACATTTTTCGAAAACTTTGTTTCTATGACAGCCAGACGTTACCCAGGGTAACTCAAACCGGATCTCGAGACGAGAGTAAAGGCAAAGCAAGGAGTCAAGAGCACGAACCAACCATCCCCCGCAAACTCACAATTTTTTTTTGAATGCGGACGAAAGGAATATAGCGAGGGTATTCGAAAATACATACACACAGCAAAGTCACTATCTTTATAATGACAAGTTACCAAACGCAAACACATCCAGCTAAGAAATACTTCACTCTCTCTCATTGCTTTTCTTGTATAAGGTTAAGCATTGCCTTCCCTTGCCTGAGACTAAGCATTGTCTCCTATTTTTGCATGAGGCTAAGCATTGCCTCCCTAATTGCATAAGTCTAAGAACTGCCTTTTCCTGCATGAGACTAAGCATTGTCTCCCATTTTTGC